GTCCCGTGGGTCTCAGCAGTCGGGTAAAAGGTGGCTGTGGCGTCCTGGAGGCTGGAAAATCAGGATGGATGCTCGTTTGGGGTTGTGCTTGGGACACAGTCTTGTTTGGAAGCCCCGGATCCTAGGGCTTGGAAATATAGACCATCAGTGGCCATTGAGTCAAGTGCACTTCAGACAACCCTGTGTGGGGGTCCAAGTAAAACTGTGCTCCAAAGGGGGTTCAGCGGCTCACTATCCAGAAGTAGACTGCCAGGCCTCTCTTTCAAGGCATCTCTGGGTACACAGACTCAAACCTCCAGCTAGCAGCTAGCTGAGCATGACACCCTTGGCAACACCCAGGAGCCTTCTCTCTAAATCCATGTAAATACCATGAGCCTTCTCTCTCGATGCACTGTGCATGAGCCTGTGCATGCACAATGTGTGCGCATATACATCTGTGCACCGTGTGTGCATCCCAGTCCCGCAGGACTAAAGTAAGGACTAGCATTCTGACCAAGGATGGTCTCAGGGAACGGTGAACCTGCCTGTGCAGACATGTTTCTCCACACCTTGCCAGGAACTCCTGCCACTGCGTAGGATGCATGAGGGGGAGGAACAGGTGGCAGGGGAGATACTAGTCCAAAGAACAGCCCATTGGGACATCTGACAAGAATGATGCAGTGAACTGCAGCTTGCCCTAGGGCTCAGAGATGGCTTGAGGATGCCTGGAAGCCAGAGACCACCCTAAGCAGGTCAAGTCAGGCATCAGGGCCCTGAGACCCAGGAGTCGGCAATGAGACAGAGCCCTCGTTCCCAGATCACCAGGTGGCAGAACTTTGGAAAAGGGGAAACCCACAAGACTTAACGGAAGTCTTAAAGGCCGAGCTGGGCACAGACACAGATCAGCAGTGGGGCTGGCAGGAGCCAAGCTGACAGGGGCAAAGCTGAGACCAGTGAGGGGCAGCCGGCCCGTGGAGGTGAAGGAGGCTGGGTGGGCTGGAGGCCACAGGAGGAGAGGAGGGGGGTGGTGAAGGTTGGACTAGGAGTTCAGTCACCAGGGAGCTTCAGGGCTCTGTGTGAAGGTTGCACCGCGGGGAGGAGACATTGGCTTCTTCTCTTCCTCTTTGGTGTCGTCTTCTGTGGGAACATCGTGCTCTTCTATCTCGTAGGATTCTCAGTAAGCTGAGTCAAGAAATCAACAAGAATGAAGAGAGAAGGAGCTTCTTCACACGCAAGTGAGCGGGGCAGGGTTGCTTGGCTGCCTGGAAACCCCAATCACACAGGACTGTCGCTCCTGAGCTTTGACCTGCAGGGACCTCTCGGGACCACGGGTCTTCTAGGCGGTGCCCAGTGAGAGGGCAAGTCTCTTTCCTTGTCCAACGGAACAGCAGGGGACTTCCCCTGGAGCGTTGGGCAGTCACGAGCTCCCAGCCACATCACCAGTGTGGCTTGGGTGGTTTCCAGAATTCTAGGCAGTCTGGCCCCTGTTGCCAAGCATCACGGACGAGGTCCTGGGGCAGTAAGACATACCTCTCTGGGGCGCCTCTTGTAGGGTTGGATAGAGGGAAGAGTGGGTGCTTCTTAAATAAACAGATCACTAACGCAATGCTGTTTGCTTTCACAGACCCCAAGTCCAGAAGTTCATTGAAGAGCCAGGTAAAGGGCCCAGGGTTGAGAGGTGATGGCTTTGGGGGAATGATAGATACTGTTCTCTTAGCATCTGGTTTCTGGGACTCCCAGATGCTAGGCAGATGCCTTACTCAATCACCGGTCGGCTGGTTCTTCTCCAGAAGAGGGTTAGGGCTTGCCTAAGGGGAGGAGAGAAGGCAGTCTGCAGGCCAGCTGGCTTATGGCCACGCTCAGCTAGGACCCTCTGTGGAGACCCCCGGAGGAGTCAGAGCGCACAGAGGGAGGACTCAACCACTGACCCAGCACCTGCGCTAAGCTAGCCCCCTGCTTGGAAGTCTTTCTAGGAGTTTGCCGGTGACGAACACATAGGGTCAAAATGTAGACCCCTGGGCTCCACTCAGTCCTGCAGTATCCAAAGCTAAAGCGATAGAACCCGGGACCTGCATTTGTTAAAGCGCCACTCAAGCGAGTGTTGTGAAAATGAGTGAAAGATTGAGAACGGCTGCCCTCTGGTGGAGTCAACTCCTTGGGTAGACATTCTAGAGGTGTTTTCAAGCCGATGGTCAGCTGGAGCCTGGGACAGGGCAGTGGGTGCAGGAGCAGCTGGGGCTGCCGTCTAGGGGGTTCCTTGGGGACTGACGCCAGTGCTGTCTCCTCCCACAGAAAGCCACGAAGAGGACAACGGGGGCTGGTCATCCTTTGTGAGTATGGCAGGGCCTCCCTTCCACCTTTCAGCAGTTTCCAGAGAGCCTTTTCCAGGAGGAACAAATTTCCACAGCAGCAAGGCCCCGAGCAAAATGCCGTGTCACCGGACCAGGGCTCGGACGAAGTGTTAGGCTCTGCTGATTGAGCACCAAAGACAATGAGTTCTGCTGCCTTTCACCTGCCAAGAGACTGTCCTTTATAAAGCAGAGGGAGGGCTGGGCCTCACCTACGCTAGGTTGTACTTTGCTGGCCCATCAATTACCCATCATTATCCTAACAACGTGGCTTAGCTCCAAACAGTCTCCAAAGGGGGCAGGCCCCTAGACATCTACACTACCAGGCCCTTCCTCCGGGCAGACATCCCCATGACTGAGAGCAAGGGAAGGAGAGTTCAGAATACAACATTGTTGTTGTTGTTCTTGGGTGCCATGGAGACAGTTCTGACTCACAGAGCACAGGTGACATCAGGCCCAGGCCTGCGCCATTCTCACCGTTGCTCTGTTTTTGCAGCCTCTGTCCCGTTAGGGCTCGTCCTCTGTTTTACTGGACTTTACCAAGCAAGATGTCCTTTCCCGAGGCAGGTCCCAAAGGATGGGAGACAAAGCCTCTCCATTCTTGCTTCCAAAGAGCACCCTAACCGACCGCTCTTCTTCTGGGACAGAGTGCTCGTGCTCCTGAGAGGCCAAGGTGGAGTCAACATTCGTTGCCAGCACCAAGACCCCAAAGCACCCCAACTTTTGCACGCACACGAGGTCATTGAAAACGCCATAGCTTGGGTCAGGAGTGCCTTCGTCTGCAAAATGACCTCTGGGAGGACATCAGGAAGGTGCCAGTCAGTGGCCCATTGCACTTGCGGGGTCACGGTGCCCCCTGTTTAACTCTGGTGAGGGCTGTGCACCCGCGCCCCAGCCCACCACAGACGTGGCCCTATGCGTGGCGCCAGACGCAGGTGGAACCAGCCTCCGTAGGGTTGAGTCTGCTGCGTGGTGACCCCACGGTGTCAAGAGTAGAGCTGTGCCCCACTGGGGTGGTGATGGAGTGTTTTCTGGGAGCAGATCACCAGGCCTTGTGTGGGAGGCCCTTCTGAGTTGACCTGAACTGTCAACCTTCCCATTGGGAAGCAAGCATGCAGCAGTTGATCATTGTCCAGTCTTTGCCTTAGACGAAGCAGCCGGGCACCCCCCGGGGAACCTGACAATATATGATAGCCATATGGCTCCTAAGAGAAAAGCCTAGAACCACTTCACTCACCCTCAGCCAAGTGGGCTTCTGAGAGGTGGCTGCCTCTCCTTCTGTTACAAAGCAGGCACCAAACAGCCCGGGTGTTACTGGGGGACTAGTGAAAGAGAGGACTCCGTTACGGGGGTGTTTCTTCCCGGGAATGAAGGGGCAGGCCGACCCATGGTTTTCGCAGTGCTCAAGCGTCACCCGGCAGGTGCCCCCTTGCGCTGCCTAACCAAAGGCGTGGGGCCTCACTCTTGCTCCCCAACTGAGGGGTTGCCATGAACTCGGGGACTTAAATCTCGGATGTTTCATTAGGTGCCTCGCACTTCCCGGGGAAGAGGAAGACATGGGGAATGGAGCGGGGCCCTGTTCTGTGAACAATTCTACGCTATGGATGACATGAACTGAGCTGGGGACAAAAGGTGTCTAAAAGCGTTGGAGCCGACTGATTAGGAGCAAACCCTTGCTCTTGAAGGCGAGAGTGAAGGTCTGTGACAGAGCAAGGCTCACGGGGCAAAGTCTGGTCGGGACCATTGGGCTGGGCTAGGCAGGCTGAGAGGGACAAGGTCATTCCCGGCGACCTCAATGCTGAGATGAGTGTTCCAACGTTCCATGGTACCTGGCTGCTCCCCAAAAGCAAGGCTGCTCGAACCCCTCCAGCTTCTCTGTGGGGAATAACAGGGCAACCGGCTTCCACACTGAAGACCCCAGCAAGACTGCCCCATGGACCACGTCTTCCTGTCCCATGAGACCACTGTGAGGCACACCCAGCTCAGAGGCACCCCACATAGTTCTGGCGCCATAAGAATGCTGACAGGCAGGGTGAGGTCTTTCTCTGCGTGCAGGAAAAACTCGGCCCCCGCCGTTTTGCTTCTGCTATTTCTCAAGGCAAAAAGAAACGCAAGAAGTTTGTGATTCAACACCTTAAGGTCAGCCTTCCTTAGGCCACCCCTGAAGGCTGTCGGGGTGTCTGGGCTGCGCAGTGTGCTGCATACATCCCCTTCCTCACACGGGGGCCATGCCCAGCGCTTCCTTTCCACATGGTCCTTGCCTACAGAGAAGGGCCCTGGGCTCCTTGATGTGCCCGCATGTGCAGTGAGCCCCTCGTCTCTCAGAGGCGGGTAGCACCACCTCTGCTGGGGAAGCCATTACTGTGACGGTCCTCTTTCAAGGCCAGTTGGCATTCAATTGATCCTCTTAAAATAGCATTCCAACATAGGGGTGGGGGTGGTTGAGATGGTGGGGTGGTCTTCCCTCCTCACACTTCTCAAAGTGGGAAGCAGAAGCAAGAACTACAGCCCAAGGCTGATCCCTCGGAGGAAGAAGCCACACATGGTTGCCTTCTTCAATCTTCTTCCCAATTTCCACGCCAACCACCCCTCCCATGGCACTCCCTACTCCTCTGCCAGGTGTGACCCTTCTTTGCAGTGGCCACAGAAAGGATAGGCCTCGTTCGCAGTGATGAGATATGTGAGGGAAGTAACAAGTTACAATTCTAGATCAGGAACAAGCCAGGATACAATTCTTCAGTCAGGACCACTTCTTCGCCATTCCTATAGACAGGCCTCCCCCTGACTCTCAGCCCGTTAGCTCCTCAGTCTCTGGGTCCCTTGGGGTCCCCAGCTCGGGTCTCATGGGCTGGCCTGGAATCTTCCCTGCTTAGGCAAGTGCTACAAAGTTCTTTGGTTCCACCAGTTAGTACCCAGAGGGACCCCAAATCTCACCCGTGAGGCTTGGCACAGAGGCACTTGGCTCTCTTGCTCCACAGAAATCAGGTGGGAGTGCGCTCCGTAGACTTGCCAGTGGCTGATTTTACAGAAGCAGATGCCAGGCCTTCCTCCTGAGGTGCCTGCACATGGACGTGCCCTTGCAGCCTCCAGTCAGCAGCGGAACATGCTAACCAACTGTTGCCCCACCCAGACGCCCCCACTTTCGTAGCCTGTTTCAAAGGCAGCCACTCAGCACGGAAGGCTTTCTTCCTCTGAGACCCAAGAAGCAGCCAAAGGAAACTAAAACAAACAGAAAGACATTGAGGAACAGCAGTGTTCCCAAAAGAGGAGTGTCAGCAGTTCAGTTTCAGACTCCATGGATAAGAGCCATCATTTCCCCCAACTCTGAGAAACGAAGAATAGCATTCCGGCTGGGTCCTCTCAGACAACTGAAGTGGCCTCTGATGAGCAGGCTTTGGCTATCTGGTTCCCCCACTAGCATGGCCCTCCAGGGGGCACAGGGCTGTCCTGGGAAGAACATCCTAGGCAGACCGAGCAGAGCCCCTGGCTCAAAACGTCCCCACAAATGCTCCAGGCAGGGAGTCTGCTCAGCACCATGCCTGGAGAAAAAGAAATGTGCCTCCTGCAGTCCGTCAGCCAGTGTCCCCTCCTCCCCACCGTGTCTGCTATGCTCTGCTGTGCAGACAAAACTAGAGAGAGCAAAGCACTTGCCTCTGCTACTAGCCCCAAAGCTGCCAGTTTGAGTCCACCCAGATGGCCCTCAGAAGAAAGGCCTGGTGGTCCACTTCAGAAGAAGGAGCCAGTAAGAGCTCTACTGAGGACAGGCCTACTCAGGGGCACCCAGTGTTACCAAGAGTCAGAATTGACAGGCCAGAAACCAGTTTTAGTTTTAGCTTTTGCTAATGGTTGGGAGACCTTGGTGGAGATCCCAAGTCGGTGGCGGGTGGGCTGCCTCCCTGATCTCAGCTTCCCCATCTGTAAAGTGGGAGTAGCCCCTCCGGGCTGGGTGGCTGTGAGTCTTGGCGGATGAGAGTAGATGCAGGCACCTGGAGGTCAGTGGCACCTCTACACACTCCTCTGTCTCTGTCCCTGTGCGTCCCCAGGAAGATGATGACTATGAAAGTCCCAATGAGGACCAGGATAAGGAGGAGGATGATGACTACGAGTCCCCCAATGAGGAGGCTGAGGCAGCCCTGGAGGATGATGCCGATTATGAGCCGCCGCCGTCCAACGATGAGGAGGCCCTGCAGAACAACATCCTGCCCTCCAAGCCTTTCCCCAACTCCATGTACATCGGTGAGGAGCCCAGCCCCCAACTCGCCCCACTGACTTCTGTCCCTGGCAGCTCAGAGCCCAGCCTGCTGCTGACAGCCTGGGCTCTGTGACAGCTCAGCTTGTTCCTAAGCAAGTGCCTCTCCCCTCTGGGCCTCCATTCCTTCCCCTATGGACCAGGGATGCTCAATGTGTGGTCCACAGGGGCTTGGTGTGAGGACTGAGCCTAAAGCAGCCGAGTCCTTGTCTGCTGTGGCTGTGTGCCAGCCTTAGCTCGCCATTGACGGGCATTTGGCAGTAGTAACGCAGTCCTCGGGTTACACAGACCCTCAAGGCTCAAGAGTACCCTCCCCAGCTTTTACCACCATTGCTGGGTGGCACTCTGCCAGCACAGTGGTTACGCTGGGCCGCTCACTGCAGTTAGCCGTTTGAAGCCACCAGAAACCCTGCAGGAGAAAGACAGGGCTGTCTACTCCCATCGAGAGTCGCAGTCTCGGAAACTCACAGCGGCAGTTCTACCCTGTCCTACAGGGCCGCTCTGAGTCGGCATCGAGCCGATGCACAGGGACCATCACCCACAGATGGTTACCATAAGCAGAAAGATACTGAAATGGGGTTTGACTCTACTTAAGAAAAAAATGGAAACTACCTCCAAAGATTGCTGTTGCCTGTCAGTGCCTGTCTAGCCCCTGCCCCCTCATGTCTGCACTCGTTGCCCCAACAGAAGGGCCGGAGTCCCTGGTGGGTGCCGATGGTTTATGCACTCTGCTTGGGCCACCCAGAGGCACCACAGAAGAACGACCTGCAGGCCGCTGTGGAAAGCCCCCACCACCACCACGAAGGTCCCACGGGGCACAGTTCTACTCTGCAGCACCTGGGTCTCTGTGAGCTGGGACTGACGTGAGGTCGACCCTTTGTTTAGTTCTAGTTTGGGTAGCACCATGGGACTGGCTTTGTTCCGAGTACCAGGAAAGCCTTTCACAGGGGTCGCCTGATTCATAACAGCAGCAAAATTACAGTGATGAAGTAGCAATGAAAATAATTTTATGGTGGGGGGGGTCACCACAACATGAGGAACGGTATTAAAGGGTCATGGCATTAGGAAGGTTGAGAGCCACTGCAAGTCTAGACTCTATGGGAGTGGGTCTGCTTGTTTGGTTTTGTAAGGGATGCGTAGGAGTTGTCACGTGAGGGTGGAGGTGGAATGGGAGGAGCACTCTAAACAGGGCACCTCTGCTGAGCAGAGGCCTTGGGGGTTGAGGAGCCTCACATGTTGGAGGGGCCGACATGTTGAGGGCTGGCTGGCCAGTCTGGGCAGAGCAGCAGGAGAGCAGAGCCTTGTGCCAGCCAGGGCTAGGGTGAGGCAGAGGACACCTGGGACTCCTTGGCTCCCTGGTCTCACGGCCCTGCCCTGATGTTCCCTGACACAGGGGAAGGGGACCTCGGGCCTGCTGACATGCCCTAAGGTTACTTCTGCAGTGATGGAGTAATGTGTGTTTCTGCCTAAGGCAGGTCCAGCCCCAGTTGAGAGTGTGTGCTCTGGTGAAGGGGGTTGGTGCCCAAGTGCCCTGCCCAGCCCCTCCTTTTATGGGCAGGAATGACTCCAAAGAGGAAGTGTGGCAGCAGGTCAGCCCAGATGGTGTCTGGGCAGAAGGAAGAGGACCCTGAGCAAGGGCCTCACAAGCAGTGACAAGGACTTAACCTCAGGGGCAGCTGGATGAGTCCGTGGGAACATAAACTTCTGTGTCCAGAGTGTACCAGTATGTTTGTGTGCCCACAAGTGTGTGTGTTTCCATACATGCCCATCTCCAACTCCACATGCACATGTGTGTCTTTACATCTCCATGATCAGGCCTACATGCCTGTGTGTGCAGGCATTCCTCTGCTTGCTATGTGTCTAAGCATGGCTTTGTGAGCATCCATGGGGGTATGCATTTGCACACACTTATGTGAGCTTATCCGTGTGTATAGGTGTGCTTCTGTGTGTGCATGTGTGTCTGTGTTAGCATATGTGTGCTTGTGTAACTGCATCTTACAGGACATGTGCACATTTACTTCTGGACCATTGTGTCTGAAAACACTCCCTCCTGCTGCTGGCTTAGCTAAAACAAAGAGGCCTTTTTTCACTCTTAGATGGCCAACCTCTAATGAATATTCATTTACAGGACTTCAGGTGAAAGTCACTGAGTATGAAGGGAATAATGTTAAGGGGCTCAGGAAATGGGGCTGGCATGAGCCTCAGGGCTCCTCATGTTTGGGACAAGCCCTTACCATGACTGGAGCTTGCACTGGCATGGGGTGGGAGCACTGCGGTCCTGGGGGTCCAGGGTCAGGCATCGTGGGACCATAGCCTTGCAGAGCTGGGCTCAGGAACTGCCCATAGAGGGTATGAGGGTGACCACCTCTCTCCTGGGCTTAATGTCTCTCTTTTCATCTCCCATAGATCGGCCCCCCACTGGAAAGAGCCCCCAGCAGCCTCCTGTGCCGCCCCAAAGACCAATGGCCGCTCTCCCTCCCCCACCAGCCAGCAGGAACCACACGGTAGGCCTACCTCTAGTGTCCACTCCGCTCTTTCCTCTGCCCAAGAGTTGGGGAGAGGGAGGAGATGCTACTAATTAATGTCTTTGTCTATTAGAGATCATTGGTGATTTTTACTGTTAGCATAGGCTTTGAAAATCTACTTATTTCATAACAGGCTTCTTTCTGGTATTGTGCTGCTATTATTTTCCATGATTAGAAATCAGTGAAAACTCTAAAATAACCTCTAAGCAAATCTTGTGGAATAACTGGCACCTACTAGGCTTGGGCGGGCATAAGCCTTCTGCTCTTCAGCACAGGTTTCTGCCACCTGCTGGCCAATGCCTGAAATGGCAGGCACGAATACCTTGACCCCACATGGGCTGCAAGGCAGTCAGCCCTGGAAGAAAGAACCAGCAAAGGGGCTTCCCTCTTTCTTCCAGCACACAGTGATGTCCTATGGGGCTGGTGACCCTCAGAGACACTCCCAGAAGCTCAGGCTGGAGAGTCAGTCCCTGAGGATTTGCTCTCTTTACAAGTGACCTGGGTGCTGCTGCAATGGTTCGGTGCTCACAAACTAACCACAAGGTCTGCAGTTCGAATCTGCCCCCATGGGAGAAAGATGTAGCAGTTTGCTCCCAAAGAGATTACAGTCTTGGAAACCCCATAGAGTCACAGGCGGCGACGCCACAGCAGTGGGTTTGTAATGCCAACGTGTCAGGGAGAGTTGGAGGGGTGGGGGTATCTTCCTTAACGCTCCAAATGTAGATCACACTACACGTGCCTCTCCCACCTGAAAACGGGTGTTTCTCTCTTGCGTGTGCAGTTCTGTTGCACAAGAGGGCTGTGGAAGCTGCATGTATTTACAAATAACACACGTACTGAAATCTGACTGGGTATGCCCAGAGATGCCTTAGGAGAAAGGGCTGGCAACCTACCTCCCCCCGCACCCCCAAATCAGCTATTTAAAACCCTAGAGCGCAGTCTCCTCTGACTTGCATGGGGATGGCCATGAGGCATCTTCGGGTTGGTGGCAGCTGGAAGTGTATTGGTGGCACGTGAGGATGGAGAGAGGCGAACGGAGCGGGCGCTGTTTGGAGAGATAAAGCCTCCAGGACGGGCTAATGTGCTGGAAATGCCGGCTAACGTGTGGATCTTTTTCTTTACGCAGCCACTACCCTCCCCGCAGCCCAACCACGAGGAGCACAGCAGAAGCAGAAACCCCAAGACAGCGAAGCGTGAGTACAAGAGCCCCCTTCCTGCCCACCTGCCCACCTGCCCTGCCTTCCCCATCCAAACACGCCCATTTACTGACTTCTCTGCTTTCTTTCCATCCAGTGCCGCCTCCTTCCATAGACAGAAGCAAGAAACCGCCCCTCGACCGGTCCCTGGCTCCCTTTGACAAAGAGCCCTTCACACTAGGTGAGTCCGGCTTCTATTTGAAGAGTTCAGCCATCTTCTTTGTAACAGGGGGTTCTGTGCCCTAAAGGCACCTGAGGCCGAGGCGCGGGGCTGCTAATCCCAAAGTCAGTCGTTTGAACCCACCAGTCACTCTGGAGGAGAACGTGAGGCTGGCTGCTTCCACACGGAGTCACAGCCTTGGGAACCCTCGAGAGGGTTGCGGTGAAGGCAGCGGGGTTGCTTAGAAGAGACTGTTCTATGAAACGCTAAAGGGTTATGCGAATGTCAGGGTTCCTTCCTGAGTTCATAAAACAGTGGGCATCTGACAGCCCACGTCCCCCAAGACTTTTGTAGGAAACTGTTGAGTTGTAACTACCTCCACGTGGAGCTATGTCCAACTTCATTCGAAACCGCAATTACCACTGATGAGCACCAAGGGCGGCTTTGAATGCCAACCCAAGCAATAGCAGCCAGAAAACCTGACAGACGCTGAGCTGGTCTGACTTATGCAGACCCGGTTGTTTCAGAGCAGAGCTGCACCTGCAGCGTCTCAGGTAGCCAGGCCTTTCTTCCAAAGAACCTCGGGGTGGTTGACTCCATCGACCCCTGCATTCGTAGCTGAGCACTTAACCATTTATGGCAGCCAGAGACTCATATCCAACAAAAACCCCCAAGTCTGTAGAGCTATCTCTGACTTATAGTGATTCTACCTATAGGATCGAGTAGGATTTCCGCTGGTTGGGCCATGGGTTAAGCATTGGACAGCTATTCATAACGTCTGAGGTTCAAACTCATCAGCCACTCTGAGAGAGAAGGAAGAGGCTGTCTGCTCCCATAGGGAGAGTCGAACGAGCAGTTCTCCTCTGTCCTGCATAGCACAGCCAACTCAATGGCACTGGGCTTTACACAAGGGACTGCCCCAGCTTTTTCCTGCAAAGCAGCTGGGGGGTTTGAACACTGACCTTTACAGCGTAGCAATCAAGTGCTTACTACAGAACTTTAACCCTACAAAGGGGTGCATTACTATCCCTGCCTAGCTGATGATGTAACTGAGGCTAGGACGGCTTTGTGCAAATCTATGCAAGAGCGTTCGCAAGGTGGAATCTTTTCCACCTCCCGCTACCGTCGGCAGCTCGGAGTCTCACTTGGAGGCCAGAGCCCCAGCTCTGCGGCCGGCCATCAGCGTTTCCAGGCCTCGGTCTCCTCTGAGGGGGGCGCTGCCGCTTGGTCCTGCTTCCCTGACCGCATCCCCACTCTGCAGAGTCAGGCGAAGCTGGGCTGGTGTGTTAAGTCTGGGCCTGTTTGCTGAAGAGCGCTGCCCAAGCTGAGGGTGAAAATGAATGCTGGGAGATTGGCACTTCAGACGACAACATGTGAGATACCGGTGCCACCTGCCTAGATTCACCACCTGTCACCAAAGCTACTCTTTTAACAAGAGTTCTTCTCAGGGGCATCCGAGATTATTTTGTGAAATCAAATCAAATGTGTCCCCAAACAGAATTTCAATAAACCTCTTTGCTTTGACTATTAATGTTTTGTTAAAGATCTTCCTTTCTTCTCCCCACCATTCTCCTCCTTCTAGCCATTCTCCGGCTCCCCTCTCTTCCCTGTCTTCTAACTTCTACAAGCGCCTCTTCCCTGATAATCCAGCCCTGCCTGCTCCAGGATGGCCTGGGAATCTTAACATCTTCTGACAGTGCTTCTCCAAGCAGGAAACACCCCACATTCCCAGAGAGAATATCTATCAATCAGTGGGCACCTCCAAGTGAACACATTCCCATACATTTCAGCTTTGGGTGCATCCCTTTAAAGTAGGGGGTCCGCTCAAATAATGCAAATGACTAACCATAGTTGTATACCTTCAGAACTCTTCTACGAGATCGTGAGTGACTCCTTACTCAAAGAGACTCAAACTCCCACACGTGGAGTCGATTCTGATTCAAAACGACCTACAGGACAGAGTAGAACTGGGTTTCTGAGCCTCGTCTTCATCCTAGGAAGCACCTGTTATGTTTGAACTGCTGGCCTTCTGGTTAGCAGAGCAATG